GCCTTTTTTTTATTCAAAGATAACTCTGTTGGGAAAAAGCTTTATCATGTCCATTGAACTCTTAGAGTTTCTCTCCAGTATGTGTTCGTGTCAAATACATTCACAGGGTTTCTCTTCAATATGAACTCTTTCATGATGGAGAAGACTACAGAAATGTGTAAAAGCTTCAGGTTAGTATTTCTCAAATGTGAATTATTTCATGCCTTTAAAGGTTATTTTTATGTGCAAAGGCTTTACTATATTGATTACATTGACTCGTATCCCATGCAGGGGTAGAGGAGTTTTGACCCCAAATGGCTGGGAATAGGGGTTTTTAATGGAAGAATCCACAACCCAAAATACCAAGAATGCCAGTGAGGGAAGAAACCCCAACCCAAAATACCAAGAATACCAGTGAAAGGTCCCATGGGAAATCACAAGGGGAAACTCCCTGTTCCTTAAGATTGTTTGTAAGATTCTAATCTAACTTTTTATGGTTAGCTTTTTCCTGGAACAGAGTTGCTGAACCAGCTAGCCACCTTATATCCTAGGCCTTATTTTGTCTGCTGATGGGGTCTTCTTTATCCTGGTCTTTCAATATCCATAGCACATCAAGCTATGTTATGAGATATAGAGTTGATTGTTGATTACCCTACTTTATAACATCTCTACCAAATAGAAGAAAATGCTGATTTGGATACACACAAGGTATTTGATGGATGTTGCTCTTATTCTTTATTAAGATTTTAACATATAGTATTGTTAAAATAATTGATAAAACAGCAAATGTTAGGGGTACAACTTCTGTACCTACAATAATAAACTTCAGTAAGTAGATTTGACCAAAAGTAGAGTAATCTTCAATTCCCACTCTAAATGTTTCAAAACACAAACCACAACCACAATTGTTGATCTTCACCATTCACTTGAGTGAACATGGTAAATAAATCACTTCCTTCAAGAATATGATAGAAAAGAGATGAAACAAGATTTCTTTCCTTGAAACTGAAGGCATCTGTGATGTCTAAAGTCTTTAGCAAATCATTTACATGAATAGGTTTTTTTTGAGTTCTTTCATATTTCATGACATCAAGATGATATATAAAGGCTTAAAAATATTTACAGGTCTAGAAACATGGCCAAGTTAAGACAAGCTCATGCCCAGGAACAAGACTCTGGTACAAGAGGATTACACATTCTTACCTTCTTGTGAACCGGCATGCACATGCACATACTTACATAAAGACACATTGAAATCACAAAATTAAAATTAAAACAGTTCATTAAGCAAATTTCTACCATGAATATTTTTCTCCTATAAGTGTTCATTCCTGTAACCCAGGTGTAGTGGCATCTAAAGGCAAAGTTTTTCTTCATTGTGAATCTTCTCATTTAACAGAAACCAATCCTTACTTGGTGGTATCATTTGGGGGGATTTAGAAAATGCTATCCTGCTTCCATGACAGCCTCCAAAGTCACAGAGAAACTTTGCTTCTTACCCCCCCACACACACACAAAGAAAAAGAAAATGCTATTCTGCTGGAGAAAATACATCAATCACTGGGGATGGTCTTAAGAGTTAATATCCACACACCATTTCCAGTATCCACTCTGTACTTCACAATGCAGGTTGAAGATGTGAGATATAACTTTCTTACTTTAGCTGCCATGTCTGAAACTTGTTGCCAAGCCACTTTTGTGCTGATCCTGCATCCCGCTGCAACCATAAGCCAATTTAAACTCTTTCATAAGTACTCTTAGACAGTATGCTTAATCACAGCAACAAAAAAGGCACTAATATGCATCCATAAAATTTTGCACTTAGATTAGGTATTTTATGTAATTGAGGAGATGTGTTAAATCTAAAAAGTCTACCTTATAATTTAAATTCATAAGGCTTTGTCCATATCAGTTTCCAGGTGCAAACAAAGTAAAGAATAACATCATAATGAGTAAACAGATTGTTGACATTTGCCAAAATTTTTCTTCAGAATAATCTTGTATAACTGTTGGCTAATAATCTGATGAAATTCATTGTACTAAAACTGCCTTTGATATGTTTTCTCTATGTCCTCAAATATTACTATGATATGCAAATATTTTAGCAGATTGATTAAACACTAAGGGTTTTACTCTTGTATAAAGAATACCATTGATTTCATAACTTTATCCCACTTACTATATTTTAGGGTTTCTCTGAATTATGATTTTTTTCTCATGATTTCAAAGACTACTGCTACATGCAAAGGCTTTACTGCATTGTTTACAATCACAGGGTTTCTCTCCAACATGCCTTTTTTTTATTCAAAGATAACTCTGTTGGGAAAAAGCTTTATCATGTCCATTGAACTCTTAGAGTTTCTCTCCAGTATGTGTTCGTGTCAAATACATTCACAGGGTTTCTCTTCAATATGAACTCTTTCATGATGGAGAAGACTACAGAAATGTGTAAAAGCTTCAGGTTAGTATTTCTCAAATGTGAATTATTTCATGCCTTTAAAGGTTATTTTTATGTGCAAAGGCTTTACTATATTGATTACATTTTTAGGGTTTCTCTCCAGTACATGTTCTTTTATGTATTTGGAAATGACGTTTTTGTGGAAAGTCTTTATCACATTGATTACATTTGTAGGGTTTCTCTCCAGTATGTGTTCTTTTATGGCGTTGAAGACTATTAGGCTGTACAAAGGCTTTATCACATTGGTTACATTTGTAGGGTTTCTCTCCAGTATGTGTTCTTTTATGGTTTTGAAGACTACTAGGCTGTACAAAGGCTTTATCACATTGATTACATTTGTAGCATTTCTCTCCACTATGTATTCTTTTATGTATTTGCAAAGCACTTTGTCGTGAAAAGGCTTTACCACATTGATTGCATTTGTAGGGTTTCTCTCCATTATGTGTTCTTTTATGGTCTTGAAGAGTACTGCAATGTGCAAAGGCTTTATCACATTGATTACACTTGTAGGGTTTCTCTCCACTGTGTGTTCTTTTATGTATACTCATAGAACTCTGTCGTGCAAAGGCTTTTTCACACTGATTACATTTGTAGGGTTTCTCTCCAGTATGTGTTCTTTTATGTTGTTGAAGATTATCATGACGTGCAAAGGCTTTATCACATTGATTACATTTGTAGGGTTTCTCTCCACTATGTGTCTTTTTATGTTTTTTAAGACTTCCATGATATGCAAAGACTTTATCACACTGATTACATGTGTAGGACTTTTTTCCAGTATGTGTTCTTTTATGCACTTGAAGATATCTGGTATTTACAAATCTTTTTCCACATTGAGTACATTCATAAGGTTTCTTTTGAGAATGAGTGCTTTTCTGCATTTGAAGATAATGGAGACTTGCAAAGGCTTTACCACAGTGAATATACTCTCCAATATGTCTTTTTTCATGCCTGTGAAGATAATTGTTACATGTAAATGCTTTATCACATTTATTACCTCGATGAATCACTTTTGCCATATGAATCCAGTTTACAATTTGATACAATTATAAAGAGGAATTATATATTTAAGGTTTTATCACTTTGCTTATATCCATCGTGTTCCCCTTCATTACTGATTGTTCTGCATCTTTAAAGATACCTGTAATGGTAGGAGTGTTTATTAACACATTTTACTGTGGTAGCTTGAATTGCTAAGGCCCCCATATATTTATGTGTTGGAATGTTAGGTCCATAGGCAGTGGCACTATTAGAATATGTGACCTTGTTGGAGTAGGTGTGACCTTTTTGGAGGAAGTGTATCACTCTGGAGGTGGGATTTAATTTTTATATGCTCAAGGTATGCTAGGGATGTCACAGCTTCCTTCTGTTGCCTGCAGATAAAGATGTAGAACTCTCATCTACCTCTCCAGCACTATATATGCATGTATGCATGTATGCCTCCACATTTGCTGCCATAATGATAGATAAAGGACTAAATCTCTGAAATTCTAAGGCAGCCCCAATTAAATGTTTTCACTTATAAGAGTTGCTATGGTCATAGCATCTCTTTACAGCAATAGAAACCCTAGATAAGACACTCATATTTATAGCATCCTTTAATACATGAGGTTTTTCATAAATTTGAAGAGAACGGAAAGAGCTCAAAGTTTACTACACTGATTGTATTCATAGATTTTTTTTCATAGTGTGAGTCATACTACATTTGCAAAGTGAACTGGGACAAACAAAAGAATTTCCACATTCCTAGTACTCATAGGGCTTTTCTACACTATGAGTTTGTTGATGTATTCCCAATGAAGTTGGAAAACCAATTAATTGTAAACATACATCACATTCAGATTGGGGAGAGAAAGAGAGAGAGAGAGAGAAAGACAGAGAGAGAGAGAGAGAGAGAGAGAGAGAGAGAGAGAGGTTGCTTCTTTCCATATCCCTATGCTCACATGTCTTGTTTCCATTGTGACATTATACCTAGTAAAGCCATATCCCTATGCTCACATGTCTTGTTTCCATTGTGACATTATACCTAGTAAAGGAACAAATATGTTCCCATATCACATTCACACAGTTTGACTTCTTGTTTCTCATAGACACATTGTATAGGGACTAAAGCTTCTCCAGAAGAACAATTTTTTACTCTTATAAACTGCCCTGCTCACTAAACTTAGCAAAGTCAGTAAATGTGTATGAGCAACACTAGCTTTACTCTAGACTATTTGCATATTAGAGGATTTAGAACATATTTATCACCTATTCAAGGTGTACATGTCATGTAATATCTGTGTATTATGAAACTAAACAGACTGGAAGTTCTGTGGCGTAGCTTGCATGGAGCTGTGATTCAAATGGTAATATCTGTTAAGGCATTGTTTCCTTGTTTTCTCTTTAAGAGCAATGCCTTGCAAACACAAAAGCACTACCTGAAATTGACAGACATGGATTGGTGCTAATTTAGTTATCTATACACTTAAAGCTGTGCTTGTTTACACTGTTGCTTCTCTTTAAAACTTCCAGGACACATTAAAACTTCTTCAGAGAAACAATTGCATCTGACTGCACATGAAAATTACCTTCCATGTTGTGTTGAAATTTGATCAGGCTCTTCAATATTATGGTCTTTCAAATTGTAGCCTAAAATATAATACCAGAAAATGAATGAAACATTTCAGAATATATAAAAAATTAAAATCACTATTGCAGTGGACCTTAGAACCATGACTGATTTATTACCCTCATTCTTCCTCTTTCTCAAACAAAATTAGAGAAGGGGATCAATTACCAAGAAAAAGTTGCCCCCTTATTTAAAAAAATGAAGTAAAATTCATAGTCTTACCTATATCAGTGAGGTTCTTATAGGTATCTAGCATCACTTCTTTGTAGAGATTCTTCTGGAAAGGATCCAGGATAGCCCACTCATCCGGAGTGAAATTTACACGCACATCATCATAGGTCACTGCATTCTAAAATATCCCATATATATGTTAAACAGAAAGCATGATACTAACAGCACTGTAAATGTATACTTCTTTTAAAGTATATTTATAAAATTCTGGTGCTTCTCACACTTATTATGTGACACAGAAGTTTTAATGTAATCATCAAGTCATTATAGAGGAAACTAATGAGACACACCTCTGTCATTTCTGCGTATTTTGAATAGGAGATAGCCTTCTAAGAGAAATGCCTATTAACAGATATAAAGAGGTCAACAAGCAAACAGAAGAATACTGATCACACATTAGAGAACCCATGAAAATTACTATCTAGAAAAATATGGGAGAGGTGGTTGTTTTGGCTTATGCCTTTTATCTGAGCACTCAGGATGTACTGGCAGGTGTATTTTAGTTGAGGAACAATCTTTTTGTGCACTATGAATATGTATTACACTCAAAGCTTAATAAAGAGCTCACTGGCCCATAGCTGAGTAGGAGGTTAGGTGGGAAAACCAGACCAAGAGGGTGCTGGGGGGAAGAAGGGTGGAGCCAGAGAGAAGAGTCACCAGAGGCAGAGAGAGAAGCCAGCTGGAAATGCTGCACTGAAAAAATGTACCAAGCCACATGGCAAAGCATAGACAAGAAATATGGGTTAATTTAAATGTAAGATATATTAGCAAGCCTGAGCTATCAGCTGAATATTTATAAATAATTTTAAGATTCCATGTTGGTTATTTGGGAGTGGGAGGTTGGTATAAGAAAATTCCACCTACAAAAGGCAATCCAACAAGCTGGTATTTCCCATTAATCCTAACAAAGCTTTAAAAAGCTTCTAAACACACAAGACTGATGGGGGAAATACTTCTGTGTATGTTTATAAATAAAGTACTTGCTTGGCCAATGAGACAGCAGGTTAGGCTGGACTAGGAGTCAAAGAGGATTCTGGGAAATGTAGTAGAGAAGTGGTGTTCCAGACAGGAAGTGACATAGCAAGGAGACTCATATTTAAGAAGAGGAAAAAGGAAGTGTTGCTCTCTTTCCCCTCGGCTCCTGCTCCAGCGGCATGATGTGGTTCACCAGCAAGGAGGGACGCCAATAAGGTGTCCGATAAGATAAATCCCATAAAATATATAGATGTATGGTAATTGAGACTGAGCTAACAAATGAGAATCCTAGTCTTTGGCCAAGTAGCTTTGTACCTAATACAAGTCTCTCTGTGTATTCATTTGGGCCTAACTCGGGAGAGCGGCTGGCGTAAAGCTCGCACGTGGCGGTGGGGCTCAGGCGGCTATTGGCAAAAAGATTTATCGTAATGTTAGACCCCCGAAAACTCAAGTATCCGGGGTCCCAGGCCACGTTCGAGGTCACCCCAATCACCAGGCAGATTCGAGAGCTTGCTGCAAACTGCACGAGGCTTTATTGTAATTTAAC